CACTCCGTCGATGAGTTCGCCACTCCGTCAGTGAGTTCGTTACTCCGTCAATGAGTTTGCCATTCCGTCACTGGGATGATTGACGAAGTGACGCCAATGACGGATAAAGCCAATGACGGATTGGTGGAATGACGGATTCATTGACATCAATGCCGGAGCGACGCATGAAGTAGCGCTATATTAACGGACTGACTCCAATGAAGATAGAGACAATATTATGACTGTCTGATGTCAATGACAAAAAACACAAAAAAATGTAAAAATAATCAAAAAGTGAACGAAAATCAAAACTTTGATAACATTGTCGGGTTAACTAAACCATTGACGAGACGCACTGACGGTCGAAGAATTCATTGACGTAGTGGCGAACTCATTGACGTTGTGGCGAACTCATTGACGGAGTGGCGAACTCACTGACGTACTGATGTATGGGGAAGCCCTAGAAAGGGTAAACTTTTCATCCGTCATTCGTCGATGCTACCTTACAGAATACGAAACACCAATAATTACAAAAGAAAACGAAAAAAAAAAAATGCAGCATTGATTCAGTCAGTATACTTCAGCCATTTCGCCAAACTAAAGGAATGCATAAGAACGGCACTGATGTCCATCAGTAAGTCGATTGTTTCCTCAAGCCCGTTACTAATACTGAAACTTAATCCTGTATTCTTTCGCTTTGTTATTTACATAGAGCTTTGTAAGGTAGCATCGACGAATGACGTATGAAATGTTTACCCGTGGCTAGTTCGCCACTCCGTCAAAGAGTTCGGTACGCCGTCACTGGGAAGATTGACGGACTAAAGGCAATGACGGAGTGACGGGCCGTTTGATGGGATGGCGGAATCATTGGCAGAATGACGAAAGAGGTATTAATGGACTGACTCCAATGACAGATCAATTAAGTCCGTGTTTAAGTCAATTCAACCTGTTTATGTATGTGTCCCAAAATCGCATTTCGAATAAAAAACGATGTCCAAGATACCGAAAGTGAAACTGAGATTGAATATCAGGCACGGTTTCTGTCGGTATGTTCTTCAAGACCATGTATAGTGTAAAAAACCTACACCCATCCCTATTGTAGATCGATAATGCTAAAACCTAAAATGTATAAAAAAAAAATATAGCATAGATAGGCTAACATTGTCGGGTTTATCTAAACCATTGACGTTCTGACGAATTCGTTGACGAAGTGACGAAATCATTGACGGAGTGGCGATCTCATTGATGGAGTGAGGGATGTAAATAATTACAGTAGCTAAAATATATAACCAAATTAATGTAAAAATAATAATGGAAGGAAGAGATAACTGTGTTCACAAGAAAATTTTGACGCCGTTTTTGCCAAAAAAAGACCAATAACTAAAAAACCGTTAATTGAACATAAATCGAAGATCGAAGTTATCACCAATATAGCATTCCAATTTTCGACAAAAGCAGAAGAATTTTTTTTCTATAGTGATCACCAATACATTTCGAAGAAAAATCGCGAAAATTTCTCAACAATCTACATAACATGCCAAAGTCCATCAACATCAGATTACAACCGCAATCTCGTTCGTATTCACATGCCAAATTCGTTTATTTTGGATAGATTAAAATCAATTACCTCAAAAATCGTTCATCAAAAAATAATATTAAACGATGTACACAAAATTATACGTAAACATACCAAGAATTGTTAAAATTCTGGCCTATTTGTATAACCTACATAATTAAGCCTACAAGATATTTCACGTGCCATGAGCAAATAGATATCGATATCCTGCAAGAATGTTGATATAGGTGCATACAATAATAGAAACGAATTACTATGCTTTAAAACACGAAAATCGAAGTCATTAGCTTGTATCTTATTTTCGTTTACTGATGGAAATTAGATATTCCCCAATTTGTACGAAATTTATTATTAAAAACAAAAGTTATAAAATTGTAAGGTAGCATCGACGTATTGATGGACTCCAGTGACGGAGTGGCGAACCCACTGACTTAGTGGCGAACTCATTGACGGAGTGACGAACTCATTGACGGAGTGACGAACTCACTGACGTACTGACGTATGGGGTAAAGTTGAAAGCTCGATTTTTGTACCCCACCCCACTTTGCGCAACTCTGACGCCATAACAAGCTATACGATTGTCATTAATTTTCGTTATTATCAATCTATTTAAAACATGTCGATCTAATTATTTATTATTATTTATTTGTGTTTTCTTTATCCAGAGTGTTTTCAAACGTTGGTAAGGTTTCTTTTGGCCTTCAGCTTACATAAAATGTTGATGTGTACTATTTGTAACATCTTGTTTGTTTTATACGTGTACTGCAGGGTTGCTGATTTGTTAACTAAATTAGGATTAAAGAAAGGTGATAAGTTATTGGTGATTTTACCTCGGCTACCTGAATGGTGGTTTATTAATTTAGCATGTATTAGAACAGGTCAGTAGTCTATCTTACGAGAGAATAGATTCAATTGTATCACAATATGTTATGAATGAGCCCAGTTTTTCATCATATCATATAGGTTGACATAATTAGTAATGTTAACAAGTAACAGTAGTTTATAAATTCCATTTTTGTTTCTTCAAAATACCTCCCTCGAACAACTCATAATAAATATTTTTAATCGAAAAACCCCTCTCGTTGTTTATTTTATTTTTCAATTTAGATTACCATTTTGCATTTTGATATAATTATAATTATGTATGTGAAATGTTTAAATGCATTTGAAACTAGAAATAAGGCTTATTTTGGTAAGATTTAATTTATGATATGATTTGCAGGAATCATTATTAGTCCCTGTACAACTTTATTACGAGCCAATGATATACAGAAAAGATTGTTATCTTCTAAAGCTAAATGTATCATAGCTGATGATCCGTCTTCAATTACAGTTGACCAGGTGGGTTAACATTCATAGGTTCTGATATATTAGCAACTTGGACATGTAAAAACATAACGATTACAAAAGCATTGTAGTTTTCTCATTGACGATTTAGCTGTATTATATTATATATTAGTGCCACCAAGTGAAAATTGCAACTAGATTTTTCTTTCGATAGAGGCTACAGTTTTTATCCAATCTTGAAACTTGGTATGCCTGTATAAATTGGTGATATCTCGGTCAAGTTCGAATATGGTAAAAATCGAATGAACAGTTTCGGAGTTCTTTCCCTTGACTTAATTAAAGTTAACTGGTAAAGGGCGTATGCTACCTTGCCTGGCAACCTATCTTTAGACCAAAAAAGGTCCACCATCTGTTCGACCAATCTTACCTTAGTCTCAGAAGCGGGCTATGAAACTTCTAATCCATGTGTGTCGAGAATTACTCACGTTTGAAAGCTAAAATGATGACTCGTCTTTTCTTGATTTCCGCCATATATAGAAACGACATTATATAGAAAGAGAATGTGGAATTTCTAGTCACAAGAAAATTTGAAAGTGTTATGCCTTTAAGTGCAGTTCTAGTAGTTCTCTAGACATCGTATCACTAATAGGCCTACAGGTTTTGACATGATCGTGATCCTGGAAAAAGGCAAACCATGGCCTTTAAGTAGAAATTATACGAAAACGGTTGGTTTTAATTACCATAAGGGTCCGTAAAAACAAACGTCGTGATAAAATATAGCTTGGACTCGCTTTTTAAAAAAATCTTGTAAAATATTCATTTAGGACATTTTTTATTGCCTTATAAGGTATTAGGTGACTGTCCTGAACTAAAGAACAAGTTATTAATCTCTTCATCAGAAAATGGCACTGACGACAGGTAGGTCTATTTAAAGCCCTTCTACAGTACACCATATTGACCCAAATATTAAGGAATTAAAATCATTTCATTCCTACAAAAATATCAGTCTAAATGTTAGCTTTACAACGTGATAGAAATCCCTGTATCACTTTTCAGATCGAAAATTTTACGATAATGTAACAAAAATTTAAGACTCTCATCTCTTTCCGTCTTCACAATGGTATAAAGTCTTCATCGTCACAATCAATGAGTATAGATTAATCTATAAATACTCAAAGCTCACAATCACAGATACTATATAATTATGTTCACGTTTTTTTTTCTTCTTGACTGCAATGTCCAACTTCATGTACCTAATACCTTGACTATTGTGAATGCAATCTCCTTCAGGTCATAATATTTTTATTATGCATAAAACTGCTCGACAGAACAATAAGAACGTGCAGCTATATCTTGGATATTCCTTTAAGAATTCTAATTCTAAGGTGTAGGCCTAAACAGATAATAATTCTATGTTGTAACATTATTGTGTGCTCGTAAAACGGAAAATCCTACTTTACATTGAAGGAAAGGTTGGCTGAATTTTAAGCATTTATTAAAACATTGTGATGGAAATTTCGAGGTAAGCCTAAACTTTTGATTTAAATTTTTTTTTACCAATTACCTATTAAATTATTACCCATCTTAACCATGGTTCATAAGTCGAAAGTAAAAAAAAATAAAGATAAGAAAAATAAAATCTTAGGTAACCTATAGCGGCGAAAGCTCTTCAAAATTTAAACCAAATTTATCTTACATTGCAGAATATTAAAACTTTATCAGATGACGCTATGATGTTATTTTTTACCAGTGGAACTACTGGCTTTCCAAAAATGGTGGAACATACACATGCTACATATGGCATCGGTCATAAGCTAACCGCAGAGTAAATATAATGAGTTTCTTAACATAAAACTAGGCCCTATCTGTTTGAGTAGATCTAATACTTTGATATCATAGTGAAATGCTTCTTTCCAAGTCCTCAATTTGCCTAACCTTCCTATCTAGCGTATTATAATATATCTTTGTATGTGCATATTAGTAATTATAGTGTTTTATTTATAAATGAATCTGGTCCTAGTCCTAGTCTATAGTATAATAGTATTTGTTGATTAGTAGTGTTAATCTTCTATGTTGAGCTGATTTGATGAGATATCAATTTTATTCAATAGCTGATCCTACGCACTATTATAAGTTCAGATTAGTTCACCTGTGCCAAATTGTGTTCACTTGCACCTAATTTTTAGTGAGTAAAGTCAGATATTAGACTGTAAAGCCAAAAAGAAGGTTGATGAAATATATGAATTAGTCTGATATCTTACGATTAATTTCTGGATTTCAAAAAACCTACCTTTGTAAAAAAAACTGTCGATAAGGTCTAATTAAAATGGATCATTGTATTATACTTGTAGTTATTTTTTGAGAGTAACAGATAAAGATGTTATATGGAATATGTCAGATACTGGTTGGGCTAAATGCGCCTGGAGTAGTTTATTTGCACCCTGGAATAATGGAGCATGCGTATTCGTTCATCATACGGCGAGATTTGATCCAAAGGCAATGCTCCACGTAAGACATTTTTTGAGGACTGTTTAAAACATATTTCCTACTAGATTTTGCTGAACCTAAAAACATTGCGTAAACCATAAGAAAGGGAAACAATACATCTCGATCTTCTTTTAATTTTGTTTATCAGAAGATGATGAAAATGTTTCTTTTAGAATTTATGCCAGTATCCAATAACGCATCTGTGTACTGCACCAACGGCCTATAGATCATTAGTTAAATTACCATTAAGTCACTATAAGTTTCAAGCTCTAAAGTACAGCTTTGGTGCTGGTGAGCCAGTGGTAAGTTATTTTCAGATATTAAGTCACTTTACGACTAATAGTTATATTAGTGCTATTATGACATCAATATGTTAAGGTAACTGTTTATTGTTGTTTATGACTAACTTATGATTAATTGGTTAGAGACAATGAGTTTGGAAGTCAGTTTGCAATCAGACACACATGCAAACCGCCAAATTATATTTTCCTTCCGGCGAGAAACGATCCAGTGTTTTGGGTCTACTTCTTTGGGTGCATAAATGATGTCTAAACCGGTCTGTAAGCCTTTAACTTGTAACATTGATACGTAATATAAGTAATTTAATGCTTTTTTTAGAACCCAGAGTTAAAGACAGAATGGTTTGACGGGACAGGTTTAGACTTATACGAAGGTTATGGACAAACAGAAACGGTACGTACATAGTGCATACATCACGTGTCAATGGGCATATATCTTATAAAGTTAGAATATAGAATCACTCACTGATTATTATTAGCAATGCTTGAGAACGATTGTCACGCGATTTTAAAGTACACCTTGCTCACTGTGGGTACAATATACCTGGTTAAGATGATAGGTCAAACGGCGAGATACCAGTTTCCAACAGACATACCTAAGGAACATAGCACGTCTATATCAAAATTATGACGTTTTGCTAGGGTTGAATATCACAAAAACAATAGAACGAGTTTTTGTTTTGCAGACGTTCATCTGTGGAACTAATTATCCGGAAGTAAAATCAAGAGATGGATCAATGGGAAAACCTCCACCAGGAATAGACCTCCAGGTACTACACTATTTAGTCCTGATTTTTTTTTTAGATGATTACACTCACTCCGTTATTTGATATTATCTTAAAGGATACTACCTCTAGAATGGACATAAAATTTTCAGTCTCATACTTGGTCAACAAGTATTCAACAGTTGGACTTTTTTTTATATATATAAAAATGTTTATTTGAAAAAAGACGAAAAATAATTACATACAAATATAGTAATATATTAGATCATACAAAAGTACATACAAATAGTCATAATATTCATAGATATATATTAAAAATTTCTAATACTACAAACTAACATTTGAGCAATTTTTTTTACCACAAACCATTTTCATTACATTGGTAGAATTGCCAATAATATTTCGTCGTATACATGGTATGAAATAAACGTTATTGGGTGTAGAATAACATAATTGCAGAGTAGAATAACTGAAAATATATTATTTTAGATTGTAGATGACAATGGTCAAGTATTAGATCCCGGTACAGAAGGCAATATAGCTGTAAGATGTAAACCTAATAAACCTGTTGGACTTTTCACATGTTATCTTGTAAGTTGTATTCTTACCAATTTTCCCAAGGGATACCAGAATAGCGGTCATTGTAATTATGCTAATACCTGCTCCTAAGGTTCCGGAAGCCCATAATTGAATTGACAGTTCAATGCTGTTTAGTTGTTCGTTAGTTATTTTTCATTACGTCCTTCGGGGCCATTCTTGGTGTAACAAATAATGAATTGTTATTTAAATCATCTAAAGGGACAGTTATGCCATCCGTTTGACCAATCGAACCTTGGTGTCAGAAACGGGAAGTTTTTTACTAAGCTAATTAGTAAAGGTATTCTCAGCTCACTGTCGAAATTTGAGCCTTTAAATCCACGTGTTTCCAGAATTATCCGCGTTTCAAGTTACAATGAAATAGAAAATGAAAGTCTTACTTACAGGTATATTTGTAGAAATTATGCGATTTTCGTACGTTCTTTTATTAATTTGTTACAGAATGATAAAGAGAGAACAGATTTTGTGTTCAAAGGAGATTTTTATTTAACTGGTGATAGAGGTCAAATGGACGGAGACGGTTATTTTTATTTTGTTGGCCGAGCTGATGATGTCATACTATCGGCAGGGTATGTTTCCATTTAGGTCTATCATCCATTGATATAACAGTTATATTGTAATCTTTCGATTTTGAATGCTGCAAATGCTTTATATCTCCGCCACATCGAATACGACCATTCGCAATCTTACAGCAATTTGGACAAGAAAAGGTCCCTGAAAAATTATAAACTCTAATTAAGTTGCCCTCATACCACTATATATGGGGCCATATTGTGTTCCCACTGAGTGTCCTACACCATTCCGATCTATCGGATCGCCAACGTCTCCGTCGGTCTACTCCCCTGTACAAAGAGCCATGATGCTCCGTCCAGAACGCCATCTTATCGCTACTTGATCGCCTAAACTGATGAGCGTGGCAGAAAGCTACAATTTTCATAGTATCTCGACTATATTGGATCGCATAGATCGCTATCAGATCTAGCTTGAGCCCATATAAAGCAGTGTTCGCCCCCGGAGCGCCAATTGAATCGCATCTTACTCGCCTTTTATCGCTAACGGAGTGAAAACTGATTGGGCAATTGGGTGGCGACCGAGGACCATGAAATCGCTATCGGATCTTAAAGATAATTACTGAAAGCCCACTGGAGCCCAATCGGACCGTAAGTACACTTATATGGCCATATCCTGGGGAGAAGTTTGGCGCTCCTTTAAAGGAATGCGGTCTAAGGGCGTTTCTATTGACATCTATGGGAGATCTCCTTTAACTCCCATTGGGTTCTTACCATCTGTCCACTAAAAATGAGAGGCCCCCCGCTGAGAAATTATGTCTGTCGTTTCTTACATACACGCTTATTTACGACCTTAACACGCTCTGAACCATTTTTTCTTCACTGAAAAGCAGCGCATGCAGTTAGGAATTCTTATACGCGCACATTATAATGTGGTCGTATATAGTCGTTGCCCCCGTCCGTCCGTCCGTCCGTCCGTCCGTCGGTCCGTCCGTCCGTCCGTCCATCCGTCCGTCCGTCCGGCCGTTCGTCCGTCTTTCCGTCCGTCCGTCCACAATTGGCTTGTGAACGCAATAGAGAAAACAGTTTTTATCTGATTTGAATAAAATTTGGTGTGATCATTTATATTAATGAGATCTTGGACAAGTTCGAATTTGAGGATCTTTCGATGAAAGATTTTTGAGTTATTGCACTCATGAAAAACGCGTCAAAATTTGTTTGTGAACACAATAAAGACTACAGTTTTCATCCGATTTAAATGAAATTTGGTATGGTCATTTATAATAATGAGATCTTAGTCAAGATTGAATTTGACGGTTTTGAGTTATTGCCCGTGACTTATGAAAAACGCGTCAAAATTTGTTTGTGAACACAAAAGAGACCACAATTTTTATCCGATTTAGATGAAATTTGGTGTGATCAATTATAATGATGAGATCTTAGACAAGTTCGAATTTGACGATCTTTTAATGAACGTTTTTGAGTTATTTTCCCTTATTTATTAAAAACGCGTCACAATTTGTTTGTGAACACAATAGAGAATAGGCCTACAGTTTTCATCCGATTTAAATGAAATTTGGTATGATCATTTATAATGATGAGACCTTAGTCAAGATTGAATTTGACAATTTTTAGATCAACGGAATTTGAGTTATTGCCCTTGACTTAGTAAAAACGCATCAAAATTTGTTGGCGATAGAGGTGACAGTTTATGTCAGAATTTTATGAAATAATGTGTGTTTGTTGAAATCAACAATATCTTGCACAAATTAGATTTTTGGTATGATTTGCCACAGATAGGTGACTGCCATTGATATACTGAAAATGTATCAGGAAAGTGGGCGTATCTTGCTAGGCAACCACTTGTTTCTTATGTGACGGGCCTTTTATAGACAGAATAGCAGATAGCCTGCACTTTTCTCCACTTGAAAAAAAAAAACACCGTTCTAGAAGAATTACCCTAAAATCCTAACCACAGAAATTTACCAGAAGCACATTATGTTGTTTTTATTTTACTGAAATATTTTTGTACAGATATCGTATCGGTCCTTTCGAAGTAGAGAGTGCACTACTAGAACATCCTTCAGTGTTAGAGTCGGCTGTTGTAAGTAGTCCAGATAAAGAGAGAGGGGAGGTAAGTGTTGTTGCACTCTTGTCTTACTAAGTAATACTTATAATTTCAAATGTTCAATATTTGATCTTCATCTAATGCTGTGGGTACACGAACAGTCTTGAACTGTGTTTCCACTGACATAAAAAGCCGGCTCTAAGCCGGCTTTTTTGTGTTTCCACTGACAAATTGCCGAACCGTTAGCGTTCGGGAACCGTAACGGTTCGGCAATTGAAGCTTTTCTCGTTCGGCAATTTATCGGGGGCCAAATGAAAGCCGGCTTTCGTTTACTCAGTGGAAACACAAAAAGCCGGCTTTTTCTCGTTCGGCAATAGGGGGCGTACTTGTCTTTCCGGCAGCGCGCGATTTAACGATAGTCTTGTACATCGCGTGCTGTCAATAATGTGCGACTTTATGATCGAGACCAAAGTCGTTCGGGAACCAGAAAAACTCAGTGTAAACGCAACGTGTTCGGCAATAAAGCTAGCTCTAAGCTAGCTTAGAGCTAGCTTTCCTTCACAATTGTCAGTGGAAACGCAGTTTTGGTCGCCGAGCCTTGTCAAGAGTTTTACCGACCGGCTGCGGGCACACGACGAGACAAAAATCTCCAGTCGGTTGATAATCACGTGCGGATCATGCAAGGAACATATATCTGATATCTGATCACAGACGATACAATAGTCTGCGACAAATATCAAACTTGTCGCAGAAGCGCGGGCTCACGCGAGATTTTATTCAAGATAAGAGTCGGCGACAAATATCGGCAACCAGGACCGTTCGTGTGCCCCCAACCTTACTTGTTTTGTAGCAGGGTGGACATGAAAAAAATGTCGTCACATCGCTATCTCGAACCTTCTTACAAATAAAACTGGTTATGGTTTTAATATATATGTATATTATTGTTTTAGGTTGTTAAAGCGTTTATCATTCTTACTGAGGATTATAAACAAAACGATCTAACAGATCTTATAACAGAATTACAGAATTACGTCAAGTCAACAACAGCACCATATAAATATCCCAGAAAGGTAGAACCTATTAATCTACCCGCAACACAGTTTCCTAAAAAATTGACGAACATTCAGTTTTCAATTATTTTCACTGAGTAGAATTCAGTAATTCTACTAATCCTAAATATAAGCTTTGTTCGCTTGTTTCGTTTAATAAGAAATATTGAATCTTATTCTCTTTTGCAGATTGAATTTGTGGAGACTCTTCCAAAAACTGTCAGTGGTAAAATTCGTCGTATTGAATTAAGAAATAATGAATGGAAACACCACAGACAAGCAAGTAGTTAATAATAGATGAGTTTACACAGCCAACCACATGGAACATATTTTTATATCCTGATATTAATGCTCAAATAATTTTGTTAACCGACATATTACACTTAGAATAGAGACAGAATTCCTAATACATGTATTTAAAATATAAGATACGCTACAGCAATGTTTGATTTGAATTTCCCAAACGAAATTAAGTTGTCTAAAGAGATTGTATTCATATTCGTCATCAATGTTTGTGCGACCGCTACCTAAAACTTTGAAATGTTAAATAGTTCTTTCCCATATAGAAAACGTAATGGTGCTCAACACAAAGAAAAATAAATCGTACGCTTCAAATCAGTATAGGAGATACGAGATAAGATTTTTTGATATTAATAACAATGTCTATGTATAAAGCTTTTTATGGTTGACAATAATTTCAAATATAGAACTCCTCAATTAATGTTAATAAGCTTACAAGAATATTTTTTTTTATATAAATTAAAATGGGATTTTCCAGAACCAGTCAAATATATTTTGGTTGTTAACAAAGTAGACACCAGTCTCTGAATACAATGTTTTCTGAATTGAAATTTGGCAATAATTTTCATTTGAATTGAAATATCAATTACACAATACTACAGAGAGTCTTGGATTGCCTTTAGGTTTATGAAAATGTCAACCACAGGAAAAGTTATTATTTGTAAACATGATTATACAGAGGGGAATTTTCAGACCAAAAAGTAGGCCATTTTCACGTGAATTTTCTGGAAGGGAACTGTCTATTTCTAATGTAAAATCATATTTCTAAGGACCCGAAGACATTCGGAGAAAAATCGCATACAGTTAAAAAAAAATTGTTGAGCATTAAGTAGTAGTCCTAGAGACACTACCAGACCAAATAGGTTATGGTCGCCAGTATCTACAGACCGAGTTTTCAATGACCATTGAAACAACTTGTCAAATCATTGGCGATCACCAGCATGCAGGTGACGTTGTGTCGCTGTCCTTTTCGTGTAGATCCACAAACCCGGTGGTAATCAGCCAGGCTGCATGAAAATTGATAGCATTGGAGAAATGGCGGCGACAGTGGGGGTATAGGAGAGATGGGCATTGCTCCTCCACCCCTTGAAATATGGTTTGCAACCCCAATTGTATCCCCACTTGATTTATTACAAATTTGAAATATAGTTTTTATACGATTTTGCCCCAAAATGTGTCAAAATGCACCAAATCAATTCTATTTCTACGTTTCGTCGTCCTCAGGCATATAATGATAAGAAGTGATGGCAAACTTTATATACATTAATGCTTATTATTAAGAACACACAAGAGATAAATGGTTTATTGATACATTACATTAAATTTTAACAGGTACAATAAGAGGTACATAATTCTTAAAATAACATACAGGCTGATTAAGTAAAATAATTGAAATAAAGTAAATGAAAGATTAATTGAAGATTAAATAAACAACTATTGCTAGTATTGGAGTCTTTTATTGATAACAACCCTCAGCCTTTGTAAATCAAGCTTTTCGATCAGTATTAATGACAAAACCATTAATAAGTTGAAATATTTTATTAAATTGAATACATTTATGAATACGAATAATTACAAGTTGTTGTTCCATAAAGCTGTGTATATTAATCATACTTTAGTTACAGAGGCGGGAATTCTTTAGCTCAGCCAATCAGTTATAGTGTTCAAAGCTCACCGTCGAAATTTAAGCCTTCAATTCAAAATTTGTTAAAAATAGTTTGTGAGCAGGATTGAAGCTACAGTTTTCAACCGATTCTGATGAAACTTGGTGTGATCATTGGAATTGATAAGATCTCGGTCAAGTTCTAACTTGACGCATTTGTGATGAACGGTTTTTGAATTATTGCCCTTGACTTTGTTAAAACGTGTTGAAATTTGTTAAAAATAGTTTGTGAGCAGGATTAACGCTACAGTTTTCAACCGATTCTGATGAAACTTGGTGTGATCATTGGAATTGATAAGATCTCGGACAAGTTCTAATTTGACGCATTTTCAATGAACGGTTTTTGAGTTATTGCCCTTGACTTTGTAAAAACGCGTCAAAATTTGTTAAAAATAGTTCGTGAGTAGGATTGAAGCTACAGATTTCAACCGATTCTGATGAAACTTGGTGTGATCATTGGAATTGATACGATCTCGGACAAGTTCTAACTTGACGCATTTTCGATAAACGGTTTTTGAGTTATTGCCCTTGACTTTGTTAAAATGCATCGAAATTTGTTAAAAATAGTTTGTGAGCAGGATTGACGCTACTGTTTTCAACCGATTCTGATGAAACTTGCTGTGATCATTTTTGATGCATTTTTGATGAAGGGTTTTTTGAGTTATTGCCCTTGACATTGTAAAAACGCGTCAAAATAGAGCACAATAGAAGCTACAGTTTTCAACCGATTTTGATGAAACTTTGTGTGATCATTGGAATTGATAAGATCTCGGACAAGTTTTAACAAGAGATATTTTTTGTGATGAACATTTTTTGAGTTATTGCCCTTGACTTTGTAAACACGCGTCAAAAGTTGTTTTTTACCCTTGATTAGAGCTGTGTGATTTAATTGTTTGTTGTATTTGGGTTATTGATATTGATTATAAAAAATTTTGTGGAATTATTCAGCATAAATAATTTCTTCAATATGAGAAAATTCGTACTTTAGTCACTAAAGACTGTTTTATTATTTCTGACAGCTGCCAGTGGGCGTATGTTACCTTGAATCGCAAGCTATCTTCTAGTACTTCTGATTACTATTTACATATATTCAAGATTAAAATCGCCCCCACCAAAATGGCGCAACTATCCCTTTAATATAGGAAGCTTGCGCCTAAGCGCTTCAATGTTTGAATCACAACCTCGACAGTAACTGTTGTTCCCTATTCGTACCCCCAGCCTCGGCAGGCTGGCGCCTCCACTGCATGGAAAAAAGAATCACCTTCACTGAATCAACTCGTTGTATTACTCTTTCAACGGTTCCATCAACTTTTTTTTAACGAAACTGATCTTTAAAAATTTGAAATTTGAATTTAAAAAGTTCGGGGGTCACAAAGTCATGTGATACTTACAGAACGAAAGTTACGATGACACTCATCGTAAAGTAATTTGATTTGATTTGGATTTATTGCAATCAGCATTTAGGCCTACATGTTCAATACAATACATATTGCTACAGCATAAGTTATATAACAATGAATAAACAGAGAAATTTGTAGAATATGTAATGTTGGCTTGGTAATTGATCGGCCCATTATGGTGTGGGCTGAGTTACTCTTCTTCATTCTCCCAAACGCGTTCTAATAGTGGTTGGTTGATTATTAGTCTTCCTGTCTTTGGTTTGGTTTGGTTAGATAATCTGATAACTGTTAACCTTCAACAGTATGGGAAACGACGTTCTCCTATGTTTCTGCGATTAAACTCGTCACATAGCTTGGATATAATTAAAATACTTTTGAGAGTAATAAATTGACAGACGTGTTCCGTAACCGTATACCAGTGGTCCGTGGTGAAGCCAAAACATTCTGTATGGTGAGTGGTATGTCGTTGATTTTTCGTTACTCTGTTGGGCCGAAACTCTTATTCCAGTCTCTGATGGAATAGAGTCCGAAAATTTTTTTTACACAATTTTAAATTAACTTTACAATGACTGTATTTTAATGTTTGGTATCACGTTTGTTTTGTAAGTATCACGTGACTCTGTGACCTTTGAACTTTTGGCTGCGCACGCATGTGAGATCAGTTTCGTTAGAAAAACTTTATTGGACCGGAGGCGTGACATATATAGTGTAGGGATAAAATTGTTGGTATAACTGAACTACAAAAATATTCATCTTTCCAAATACATCTTGGTATCTAAGTAGGTTTTAAAACCCCACACCTGCGGAGATACAGAAAGTATTCATTTAACAGGACTTATTTTTTCTGTCTCTACAGCAGCAGGCTGTCCAAATATCTATCAGAGGCTGGAATAAAGACAGATGTTTCAATCTAGTACTATGTCAGTGGCTCACAAGCGGGTTCCAGTTCGGTGCATTAAATGAGGAGATGCGACGTGGCCGCCTCGATAATTAAATTCACCGAACTGATGGTCTCGTAGTGCGTTGTTGGTGCGGAGTCTGGTTACCAGTTTGCAGATAGCTCCACATGGATGGTTGGTTTGGCTTGGAATCTTCAGATCGATCTATTATCTAGCGAAGTTGAGGTTCCATAGCATGTCAGCCCATTTCTGGTTGATCCTAGATGATACGATATTGTAGAATTCCGAATAGGAATATTCCAAAAGCTCAATACCCTCTAGACTCTGACTTTCCTTGGAGCAACGGTCTGCTTGATCATTTTCAGGGATGGAGACAAGCGTTAGAACCCATACTAGTTCGATCTGGTGGTTGTTGTTGTTTTGGTAGTTGTGGATCATTCTTTGTATTTCAGCGATTTCAGGGGATCCTTTTACTTATGCGGGTACCTTTTGCTGAGATGCACAAACCGAAACCTGTTGCTGCACCTGAAACCATGGGTATAAATCTTCAAGTGAACAGTACACGGAATCAATAAGATCAAGAGCGCGAGCTCTTGTTCCTACTGGGTTCTCGTCTTAGTTTGGTAGCTGGATGAGCTGGGTGTTGACTGTCGTGTTGGTAACCGTCCAAAATGAAGTAGCCGATAGGTGTCGTTCAAGGATCGTAACATTACCGAGCTGGTGCTCCCTTAAAAGACCAATGACCGCCTGCCCCAGAATTCGAGAGAGAGTTCTTCTCCCCGAAGAGACAGGGTATTCTCTTCCACCCCGGAAGTAGCACACCATTCCTCGTACCTAAGGCTTCCCTGGTGACAATATGTATAGCTTTAAGATGTAAAACGTCGTTAGTTGAGTGTCACTAACCTTTACCATAGGAAATACAACCATAGTCAATAACTGAACGAGCCAAGGACCTGTACATCATCATTGGAGTTATGTTTACTCCCTGTGTGGTATCTGAAACATTTAAGATTTTCGTAAAATGGTAAC